ACCTTTTTTTGTGGATACAGGAGCAGATGTTAACTGCTTTCCCTATGAAAAATTACCTCCAGAATATGTGGGTAAAATTGTGGCATGTGATGCAATTGGTGCAGCGGACGATCATAAATTGGACACAGTGGGTAAGCTACATATAAAATTTACTTATGACGGTTTTACAAATGATGAAACAATATATTGTATTAGGAAGTTGAGACAACCTATATTAAGCAGAGAATCAATCATTAAGTTTAATGTTCTAAATTTTTCTAATTGTAAGCTTAAACAGGTAAATCAAATCAGTTGCAGTGTTGTTCATTGTAATCAATCTGAGAGTACTAATATGTTTTCAAAATTTAATTTAGAGTCTGTTGCTAAAACATTTCCTGGTATTTTTAGTGATATAGGTGAATTTAAAATGGAAATGTCAATTAGAATTAAGCCAGATGCTAAACCTTATGTACAGAGCGTTCCCAGAACTGTTCCTTTACCTCTGTTACCAAAATTAAGAATTGAAATTGATAGATTGCTAAAATTAGGGATAATTGAACCCATTGAAGATCCTACTTCTTGGGTCAGCCCAATTGTTTGTGTGGACAAGGGAGATTGTGTACGGCTTTGTGGTGACTATACTAAACTTAATGAAAACGTGTTACGGTCACATTTTCCTCTCGGGAAAATATCTCATACACTAGCACAGTTGAAAGGGTCTAAATTCTTCTCAAAATTGGATACCACAAGTGGGTTTTACCAAATAAAATTGAATAAGGAAAGTCAGTTGTTAACAACTTTTATAACACCTTTTGGCAGATTTTTCTTTAAAAGGCTTCCATTTGGTATATCTTGTGCCCCAGAGTATTTTACTATGAGATTTTCAAAAATCTTAACTGGCATTGAAGGCTGTGTTGTCCATATAGATGACATTCTTATTCATGCAAGGACAATAGAGGAACATGACAATATTTTGAACACAGTCCTAACAAAACTTCATAAGGAAGGTATTACACTAAATAAAAACAAATGCTCTATAGCAACAAAAACAGCTAAATACTTGGGTCATATGGTCTCTGAGCAAGGGATATTAATTGATCCAGATAGGGTTAAAGCTATCCGTGATTTTCCTGAACCAAAAAATAAGACTGAGCTGTCAAGATGGCTGGGTATGATTAATTTTGCTGCAAAATACATTCATAATAAATCTGAGATTCTTGAACCATTAACACACTTACTAAAAAAAAATATTAACTTTTTGTGGGGTCCAGCACAAGATAAAGCTTTCAGCACTTTAAAACAAAAGTTAGAGAGCCCTCCAAATCTAGCGTTTTTTGATGCTAATAAAACCATAATTGTTAGTGCAGACTCAAGTTGTTTTGGTATAGGTGCATGTCTATTTCAAGAAAATGTAGATCATACTCGGGAAATAGTGGCTTTTACATCTAGGCTTCTGAACTCAGCTGAAACACGATACGCTCAGATTGAGAAAGAAGCTCTTGCACTTACATGGGCAGCAGAATATTTTTATGATTTTATTTCAGGAGTTCCTAACCTAATTTTTGAAACAGACCATAAACCTTTACTACAAATTCTGCAAACTAAAAATTTAGATGAGTTAACGCCACGTTTGCAAAGATTTCGAATGCGTTTAATGCGATACAAGTATACTGTAATCTACACGCCGGGAAAAAATTTAATTGTAGCAGATACTTTAAGTCGGGCCCCTTTACAAACAGATACGTTAGCTAATAAAGAACTAACTGCTGAAACTGCAGCATATGTGCAGTCAATTATTCATAATTTACCAATTAAAGATTATTTTTTGAATTTAATAAAAACAGAACAAGAAAATGAATATATTTGTAAAAAACTAAAAGAATATTCTTTGTCTTCTTGGCCTGAAAGATCTAAATTGCCATTTGAATTGTTGCCATACTATCAATATAGATATGAAATTTCCTATTCGGAACAATTACTTTTAAAAGGGTCTCGCATAATCATTCCTAAGAGTCTTCAACTCAAGGTGTTGGAATTTATTCATACAGGCCATATGGGAATTGTAAAATGTCGAGATCGTGCCAAACAGAGCGTTTGGTGGCTGGGTTTGTCATCCCAGATTAATAACCTTGTCACACATTGTCCCCAATGTGTTGAACACAGAGTAAATCATAGAGAAACATTTCATAAAGACAATACTGTACAAAGGCCGTGGCAAAAACTGGGGGTTGATTTGTTTAAATGTTATGATAAGTGGTATTTGATTGCCACTGACTACTTTTCACATTGGTTTGAAATTTTTACTTTAACCAATATGACAGAAGATGCCATTATTCCTAAGCTTAAAGATATTTTCTCTCGTTATGGTATCCCAGAGGAAGTTAGATCCGACTGTGGTACTCAATTTTCATCAAAATTTATAAAGTTTTCAAAAGAATATAATTTTGTTCATACGACGAGCAGTCCGCACTGGCCTCAGAGCAACGGTGGAGTGGAACGCACTGTACAAATTGCAAAAAGATTAATTCAGAAAAATAAAAAAGAGGACCTAAGTTTGGCATTGTTAGCATATAGATGTACACCCCTAGAATGTGGTGTTTCACCTTCTGAATTATTAATGAATAGAAAATTAAGATCTAACTTACCCCAGCTTCCAAGCTTATTAAACTTTTCAAAAGAACCAAACACTAAAAATAAAAAGAACGAAATAAAGGATAAACAAGTGAAAAACTACAATAAGCGACACAATGCCAAGGATTTAGATCCTCTTAAGGTTGGTGATTCTGTGTGGGTGGTTGATATCAGGAAATATGGGCGAGTTGTTGCGATCTGTCAGGAACCCAGGTCCTATATAATTGAAACTGAAACCGGGAAATTTAGAAGAAATAGATGGCATTTGATTCATGCACCCTACTGTTTCCCTGTATTGAGCACCCAACCAGAATCCTCAAATGATTATGTTCCGCCAATTTCTAGTAACACAAAGCTAATGCCTTGCTCTAATCAAAGCAATGGTGACATACAGGGTAAAATAATGGAGGAAAGTAGTAGGGGGGAACCCAGTGTATTTCAGGACAAAATCGAACAAAGTGGAAATCATGTTTTACCTCCATCGGGTCAGGATAAAAGCGATAGTGTATCGGACTTTGAGTGCGTAAAGCCTAGCAGGCCAAAAAGACTTGTGAAGAAACCGGTTCATTTAACAGATTATGTTTGTAGTAGTTTAAGTTAGTTTAGGTATAAGATCATTAATGACACAGGGATCTTTTATAAAAAAAAGGAGATGTGTTGTTAGCTTAGATTAAGATATAGGCGCCGGAGTTAGGCAACACAGATGACAGGGATGTCATGTGAACGTAGCCGAAGCTCGGGCAAGGATGTATGTTTGAGGGTTGAGAATAAACTGATGTTGTGAAGTAACGATTATTATTTGTAACCCCTCTTTGATAACACGACACTTATAACGTACATTTTACATCATTTACGTACAGTACCAAAATTGTACGTACTTAAAACGTACTGTGCTGTTAAAGTACCTAAGGGTCTAATGCTATATTTTTTGATGGCCTAATAAAATTTGAAAGACATCAAACAAGAACAAAACCAATAGCCTTTTATATTCTTATCCATAAAAACATTTTAACCTTAACAAACTTAACATGTTGCAAAAATTACAGAACTGTGGAATGAGAATAATTCTTAAAACAAATCGCCATACCCCAATTTGGAACGATATTAAATACTCTAAATTGGTTCTCTGTTGAAAATTGACTGTTTTATTTCACCATGATTTTGGTCTTTAAAATAGTAAATGGATAATCACCTAAATATTTTCAAGAATTCATTTCTTTCAACAAAAGTATTCATTCTTATAATACCCGAGGTTTAGATGACGTATATGTACCTAGAACTGTGTATAAAAGTACGATGAATTCGCTCTTTTTTAAAAGCTTCGTTAAATTTAATCAGTTACCAACATCTGTAAAAAATGTACTAGTCTCAATAATTTCAAACTGTTACTTAAACAATATACCTATCAAAAATTTATAGTGTACTTTCTTTATAAAGTATGTATATTAGGGTTTCTATTTAAATAAAGATCTATCTACAATATCTATAAATCATGTATACCTGTCCTGGAAGAAAACTGTTTTTTTATGCTCAACGATCGATTTGATTGTCGTATTTAAAATTGATATTGTCTAGTTGTGAAATTAAACATTTAATTTTCAACTTGACTTTTCCGATAAAGACATTCTTAACGGAAGTATATTGCATCAAAGTGGACAAGTTAATTTAATATCATCGAACATAAATAATATTTTCTCACTTTACAGACTGTAATGTAATATACTGACCTTAAAAATATTGCTCACAAATTGTTTTCACAATCACAACCACTATTTATCATCAACACAAAAGCACATGTCACTATATCATAAAAAATATATAAAGCGTTAGAGTTGTTTAGTCGGGTATATTTATAAAACTGAGATTTTGCAATAAATTTCATTCCGACTTACTTTCAAAAACAGGACTAACCCGCCAAAAAATAAAATTTAATATTACACAAACTAATTTACCTATTAGCGCCACCGGTAGGTTGAAAACTGAAGTAACATATAAATTAAAACACTATACAAAAGATGGCGCCCAAGCGCGTACTTTTTAATTCTAATTTATAAAAAATATCATTCATTTTTAAAATTAGTTGACTCTAATGATGTAATAATATTATAATTTGAATAATTAGTATTGTAATAATGTTATTGATTTTTTTCTTACAATTCTGAAGTATTAATGGCATCAGCATTAAATTATGTATTTAATCTTTATAAACGCGATGATATAAGTTGAATTTGAATACACTTTTAAAACCTTTATTAACAATATTTACTGTACAATTAAACATAATTAGTTTACTTAAAAGAGAAACAATTAATAAGAAAATAAATTTGAATCTACTAACGACAATTATGTCAATAGCGTCATTCTGTCAATGTCAAATTCTTGGATTGTGCGTATTGAACGTTACAAAAAGTGCAGTATAACCGGGATCTGTCACTGTGTTATAAAAGTATAGAAATCCTAGTAATTTGAGTATATTTTGTGTTTTAGTTTTCAAGTGTTAAGTTAAATAATGTCCAAGCCAGAGCAAGTTTTGCAAATAGAACCCCAACATGAGCTTAAATTCAAAGGTGAGAGTTTAACGTATTGACGTATTCCACATCCTATCCACCAATAATAAAAATGAAACATTTTCAGCAGTAAGCTCGTTATATTTTAAGAAACCGATTTAGACGATTCGGCCACTGCTAAGATTGTACAAATCGCAAGTTTTTTAGGTGGCACTGTTTGAAAAGATTCCTCTCCACATTTTGTAATAGTATAGATGCTTATGTCATGAGTTTATGATAACAGTAGAATACATTTACATAAAGAAATTCATTTATCATTCTCATTATAACAAAGTATATATTAATAAGTCTTTTGTATTATGTAAAATATAAAACTCCAGTGACCTAAATTTACCTCATTTCAGAAACCACCAATCAGTAAATCAGTTAAGTATTTACCTTGAAGGAATACCTATACTTACAGCCACTTTTATTTATATTTTTATTATTCCAGTTCAAATTCCAGTGTCCAACATGTAGTTTAGTTGATTGTAGCCTTTGTTTATTATTGTACAAATGTTGTAATGATAATGGTTTTTTGATGATTAAAGCAGTAAATGTAGTCATCAAGTCACCTTTAAAGGATGGTTTTGTATATTATTATAAATTAAACATTTCCACCTACTATTAATTACCTATATGGAAAATTCAAGATTAAGGTTATATTTCATATTTATATCTACCTAATACACAATTTGGGTCATGTATTTCAATTTTTTGTAGAATTCAAAAATTAAAGCCTTAATTATTTTAAAAAATAACAAGTAACATTAAAAAGAAACAAGTTTCCTTGCCTTTGAAATTATGTTTTTTGTAGTTACAGTTGTAGGTATACTAATGTTATATTTGAAAATTGTATCTAATATTTTATGGACTTTCTGAGTAATCAATACTGAACTAAAACATACATTTTTGGTTCCTTAAAATTCTTTTCAAAAATAGACTGATTTGAAAACAGTTGAATAACCCTTTTAAACTAGGTATCACATACATTATGAACCCATTGTTATGATACTGGAGTTTAATATTTATTTTTTTCCTTGAAGCTGTCTGATATAAAGAGGTCATACTGTAGCCAACAGTTTTATTGTACTTAAATCTTATATATTTATTCATTTCTGAATTACAGAGATGAAGGGTAATAAAATAACATACTGTTTTATAGTATAACAAATATTTCAATTATAAAACAATATCAGCTATTGAATTAATTCAAAAACAAATCAGGATAAAATAGGAAGCAAACATATCAGGTTACCTAAAGAAACAAATAGTGAATTTTGAGAAAAAGATTAAAATAAACTTAAAACTAGGGAAGCAGTTTATTACACACTGAAGAAAATACATACAGGACTCAAAATATACAAAAAACAGTGATTATTTATTTTCTATTTAGTATGTAGCCTAGAGAACAAGCGGGGTTTAGATCAGGATATAGCACTATTCACTAATGATTACCTACTAGTGATAAAGAATCTGATAGGGAAGTCTGCAGAGTACAAAAAACCATTGTTACTGATATTCATGAACTACGAGAAATTATTTGATGCCATGAGCCAAGAGAAATTGTTAAAAGCATTGTCAGAATGCTGAATAGACCATCTCAACACTAACCTAATCAAATATATGTACCAAAATGCCACAGCTAGTGTAAGACTACTTATCAGAACATGATACAAATAAATTCCATATGCAGTGAGTAATAAGGTAAAGAGACACTGTCTCTCCAAAGCTATTCACAATGCTTTTAGATCATACTTGTAAGAAGGTAGATCTGAACGAACATGGTATCAACATAAATGGAGAAAAGCTCAGTCATTTGAGATTTGCAGATGACATTGTCCTTATAACGGAGTATGGATAATGCAATAATAATGTTGGAATCATTTATATCATGCTTCCTTTGAGGTTGGACGAAAGATTTATTTATAAATTTATTTATTCACAAAATGTCGTCATTTTTACAAAAATTTAACAAAAATAGAATATCCTAACCACAACAAAAATACTAAAACAAAATATTAAATAATTGTTACTTTAGTATTGTTAAACAAATGCTTAAATTGAAATAAATTAAATTTCCCTAAAAACCTCATTAAAATAATATAAATACTCAAGTTAAAGGTCACTCATCTTCTATCTCTATCATACTCAGTCAAACAGTGCTTAATTCTTATAGATTTTATATCCACCAGATCATAAGATTAAGTTTAGTAATTTCCCAATATCTGAATTCTGTTACTTAATAGGAGAGAATTTGTCATAGTTACTGTGATAGTGTTTTATTTAAAACAATGTCATCTCTTTAAGAATTCTAGTACTACATCTAAAGTTAATAAGACTTAATAAATTAGAACAATCAGTAGTATCATCAAGTAGTTTATAGAGAGAAACTAGTTTACATTTAGTTTTGTGGTGTTCTAAGGAACTGATATTTAGCCTGGAACTTAGTTCCACCAAAGACATGTTCTTTAAATTGAAATATGTATAAGCACAAATCTGGAGAAACTTATTTTTAATTTTTTTAATGGTGTAAATATGGTTAAAATAGTATGGTGACCATACTGTAGAAGCATAAGACAGGCTGCTAGGGATGAAAGTAAGATATAAAATTCTATATGTGGGTAGCGAAAGACCTCAAGAATTTCTTATAATAAAAACTAGATTCCAGTAAGTTTTATCTGACAAATTGTTGATGTGGGGGATATGACAAGGAACTGTCAAATAGTACTCCCAAATCTCTTATTTTAGTCTATCTACTAGATCTAGATATTCTTGGATCCTCAGACAGTCAGATAGGTTTGAAACTTATTAAGTTAAAAAGAAGAGGACCCACATGTAAACCTTATGGAACTCCTGAACTGACCAAGATAATAATCGAAAGTGAACCCTTTATAAGAAACAAACTGAACTCTTTTATCAAGATAATTACTTTATCATGAAAGAAACCACTCAGGAAGTCCAATACATCTTAATTTAAAGATGGACAAAGAATGGATTACTGTGTCAAAGACCTTCGAGAAATCTATATAAATGGAGTCCTCTTAGTACCCATCGTCAAAGGCCATGATAATGTAATCTTAATACAAAACAAGATTTGTAGGTGTAGAGTTACCCTACATAACTCTGTTGATCATTAGTCAAGAGATTTCTACAATACAAAGATACTTATTTGTTTAGAATTAGTTCAAAAAGTTTAGGGATGGCAGATAACATAACAAGAGGTCTGTAATTTTTTATATTATCTCTCACCGTTTTAAATAAAAGAGTTATATAACTGTCACAAAAATTACTAGAGAAAGTGTGCAGTCTGAAAGATGAATTAAATAATACATGTTAAGGTTTAGATAAACTGTAGACATATCTTTTTAAAAAGATCTAGGAATATTAGCAGAACCATAACTCAGTTTGTCATTGATACCATTTATAGACTCAAAGACTACAGAAAGCGAAAATTGATTAATTAAAAATGTCAACAGAATTTTTTACTTTAAAATTGAAGTTAAGTATTTGAATTAACTTTATCTGAGTGATGTACACTAGAGAAATGGTTTGCAATGAAGTTTGCTATTTTCTTATACTTAATTCAGCTGACAAGTTACTAAAATGAAATGTTTGGAATTAATGGCTTTTATTCAAGGAGTTTACATGATTCCAAAATTGCATTGTGTTCTAAGATCTGAAAATGAGGAATAATTAGCTGCTGACTGAGTATGTTTGAATCACAAATAATTGCCACATGATGAGAGTTCTAGGGAAGCAGATTGTCAAATGCCTTGTAAAATAACAGTTTCTAATAAATTTCATTAGTGTGGAAAATGGGATCCAAAAATACTACACATTGTTTTGGTATGTTATTTGATTGCCTTGGGTTTAGGTAAGAGAAGCATTCACATAGTAGCTTTGCTGGTCAGTTTTGTGGGCAGTCAAGGAGCAACCCCTCTTCATTTGAGTAATCTCAAGAAGCCAGTGGTAAATTGTAGTTGCCAAATAAATATACAGCTACATCTGGCCTATTGTTTTTAATAGTTTCAACTGCTGAGCAGTGACAAAGTATATATCTTCTTATAAGTTCGGAGGAATGTATACTGCAGGTAAATTATGCATATTCATAATCTACTTGAATAAACAGATGCTCAACATTATTAATGTCAGATTAAATTTGTTTAGATTTAAAATGGTTTCATAACCAAATTAAAACTTCTCCATGCTCCTTAGTGCTAGTTCTTAAGTTACGTTCCAATCTGAAATTGTGTTAGCTAGAGTTTAACAATTCATTATATGAATAATGTTGATTTAGCAAAGTTTCTATCAGAATGTTGACATCATAGTTACATTTGGAGGTGTATGTTCGAAGTTCTAGTCTAGTCTAGTACATATTCAGGAATTGCATCTAGTACATTTTAGGAACATTATAGGAATTTTTATCAAACATCAATTCAGCTATTGTTCTGAAGCTATTTTCTTGTGGCATTGTAAATTAATTACTATTAAACTGGGAATAAGCCACAATTAAAGATAAAAATACGTTTATTGACATTTCAATTTCCACTTCGGAAATTGTTCTCAAAATACAAACAGTAAATTAAACAAATTTTGTTTGTTACATAGTGAAAAATTCTTCTAAGAATTTAATTTTATCTGACTCATTTATATTGACAATTCAGACATACATTATGCATTTTAAAGTAGACGACTTTAAAATGATATTGCCAATATTGTTGAGTTGTGCTCCTGGGACGACTTTACGTATAAGATAGTTCATTCGATTACATGAAATCAACTTTAACTTGAGAATATCCGTCAGAAAAAAAAAATCATAGCATGTAATTCGTCTTCAAAAAGACAAACACATGACATGATGACAGTAAAATTCTCCTGTTAGTGAAAATAAAAGAAAAATCAAAGAAGCGGCTCTAATTATGCTAAATGAGGCCAATTGTGTCGCAAATTCCTCGGCAGAAAGTAGTAGGATCTGGTTACCAATATTGAAAGAGGAAGTTATTAATAAGAAAATACCA